CTATTGATTCTATGCAAAGATACGTTTTCTTTACGAAATTTTTGAGAAGTCATTTTTAATTTAATCAATATTTTTTAAAATTAATAGTTAATTTGAAAATTGTATTTATACAAATTATACATATTAATTTTTAGATTGATTCAATAGGTTTAATTAGTTTGTTAATTATATAAATTTAATACTAATAAATATATGTTAATAAATAAAATTTTTTTAATCAATGAATTATAAATATAAGATCAATTTAAAAAATAACATGTATAACCTACATAAATATAGTATTTAATTTATCAATTAATTTTTAAAAATATTAATTACAATATAAATTTTATAGTTGCTTTGCTGTATACTTAGCTTTTAGATGAACAAAATTCACATTTTATCCAAAAAAGGATTGATCTTTTAGGTAGGTCTTTTTCAAAAAAAAAAAAAAAAGGAAAGAAAGAAAGATGATCTAAACTACATTAATCTCGAGATTTTTTGTGGTTATATTGTACATCTAGCAGTAGGTGTAAGGTATTCATCAAAAAAAGATTAGTTTTGAAGTGTATCAAAATTAGATTGGGAAACACTTGACCATCTAAAAAAGAAAAAATGAGTCTTTAGATTAACGATTCAGATGAAAATTTAATAGTTAATAATAATAATTATTTATAATTTTCAATATTTAATTCGTTCATTTAAAATTAACAATTGATAATTTTTTCTGAAATGGCAATTCAAACACTTTCAAAATGTAGGTGTAAGGTGTAATGAGATGTTACAAGTCGCTAGCACACAACGAGCCGGGCCCTATCGTCATTAATCAAGAAAATTGCTTTAGATTAATAGTCTCGAAGGACTATTGTATCGGTGACATTGACAAAATTACCATTAATTGGCTAAGGTTTGAGTCATGGAGAGCAAAGCAGGGGTAGAACTAGAAAATACTAATTTTTTGTGGTCGATATCATAGAATCAAAATGTTTAGGGATCGATTCAGAGGCAAAACTACAGCTTCTTCTTCTCTCTCTCTCTCTCTTTTTTTTTTTTTTTAATTTTAATTTTGGCCATATGGACGGTATCATATTTGAATTCTCTTAATTTTAACCTTAAATTGTCTCTTAACTAATGTATAAAGAATTTTTTTTTTGAACTCAAGGAATTTTTGGAGATAAAAAATAATACTTGGATATTAAATCCAAACTTCACGTCTTAACACCTTTTATCAAGGGAATGGTCACTAAAACATATAATATAATGTTAGGCAATATATAAAAAAATTTGAAATAAATACCAAATAAATTTTCTTTCCTTGCTTAGCCATCGATTTCTTTTCCTCAAACAATGATTGGGGTTCGGAGGGTTCATTCCATGGTCCACAGGGTTTTAGAGAATGGTTCCTACAATTTGAAACCACATCTTCCAATATATATTAAAACTTTTTAAATAAATACTAAATGGCCCTTCTTTTCTTATCTAGCCATCGATTTCTTTTCCTTAAACAATGATCGGGGTTCCAAGGGTTCATTTCATGGTCCATGGTCCACGTGTTTTTAGAGAATGACACTAGAATTTGAGGTAAAAGCCTATTTTTAGCACTTCACCTTATTAAGTTTGAACGTTTTAGTTTATTATTTTATATTATGATACTTTTAATTTATTATCTTATTAGATTTATAAGTTTTAACTCCTTATTTTATTAGATTTATAGGTTTTAACCTCTTATCTTATATTATGACACTTTTAACACCTTATCTATTAAAATTAAAAAAAATAGTTATCACTTTATAACATTTTGTTAGTTTTATTAACTAATTATTAATTTTATTAACTGACTATTAGTTGACTGTTAAATGTTAATTGATAAAAACCTTCTTTCAGCTAAAACTTTTTTTCAGCTAACAGAATTAATAGAATTAATTTTATAATATTTTGTTAATTCTGTTAACTGACTATTAGTTAACTGTTAGTTGATCAAAATCTACTTTCAGCTAACAGAATTGATAATCAATATAAAATGAGGGCTATTTTCTTTGATTTTAATAGGTAAGAGGCTAAAACCTATAAATTTAATAAGGTAAAAAATTAAAAATTTTATAATATAAGGTGAAAAACTAAAAATTTTAAATTTTGTAAAATGAGGGATTCAAAGTAGGATTTTGTCCGAATTTGAAACCAAACCTTATCTTATGGTGATAGGTCTTGGTTCACCCTACACAGTGTCAGGTCAATTCCGCCCTCTTCTCTAGACCCGGAGCAATCTGTTCACCCTTCTTTGCCTAGTATGCCTAATTTGATCCAGGATGAAACCTTTCAAAACAAGATTTTTGTTTTTTAAATTGAGAAAAATGAAGTCTGTTAGGGGATTAAAATGTGATTTTCTTTTTCAAAAAGAAAATGAGTTTTTTTTATAGTTTAAATTACATTAAATTATAAAATAAAATTTATTAAAAAAATTTCAATATCAACGATTTATTTTATTTAATAATTAAAATTATATAATTTAAAATAATTCAAATTATATAATATATTTTTTCAAAAAATATTACTAAAGAGAAAATAAAATAGTATTTTATAATTTAAATTATATTAAATTATAAAATATTAATTATTAAATTTTTAAACAAATAATAAAAAATATTTTATTTAATAATTAATATTTTATAATATAATACAATATAAATTGCAAAATAGTAAACTCAGTGAAAAAAAAATCCTACCAACAGTACAAGGGTGCTTACGTTTCTGCGCAAGTGTGTGGGTAGGTGTGCAAATTGGTCTGGGATGGAATCTTTGATTTTTTTTCTTCAATTTTGCAAAAGCCTGTCGCTCTCCTTTGGAAATAGAATAACTCCAGATTTGCTGATCTGTAAAACTGATTTATAATCTTAATCAAAGTTTGTCTATTATTTTAATCATATTATATTAATTTAGTACCGCCCAGGGCAAGTGAGTTATTAAGCAGAAACGTTCTAATTAAATTGGAAATACTTAGTACTTTTATATAATTAAATTGGTCATAATTTATATATTAGATTCAATTGACATATTTAAATTTCAAATGAAGCAGCCCTGTCACCACTAAAACATTAAGAGATTGTTGGATAGAGTAATTTAAAATTAGTTGTTAGGGGTTAATGGTTTCATTTGATCTAGTAAATTAAAAGTATTTGAATTATTAATAATACCTATTATTAATCATGAAATTAGATGAAACTACTAATTATTATTTTCAAGTGACTATACCAAATAATCCTTAATAGGGATGTTTGTTTTGACATTTTAAAGACTGTGATCAACTGTTAATTATAATTAAATAAATAGATGCATTGAATTATAAACAACAACAATTATTTGTTGGATAATAGTTATTAATTGCATCTAAATAGCTAATTCAAACACCCTTATGTTCTTTTAAGAGGTTTTTATTTTGTATTCCAAATCACAAAATGTGATGTCATGGGGACAACCTTTTTATATCATCTTTTTATGTAACTTTCACATGTCATTAAATGAGTAGATGCATTTAATATCATGAGTCTCACATGAATTAAAAAAACTAACTATTTAAATGAAACATCAAATTATACAAAAAGATGACAGAAAAAGATTATAAAAAAATTATTTTTCAATCCCAAAACATGAAATATTTAATACGAGATAACTCTTAGCACTAAAAAAGTTTTTTCATTTAATAGTTTAAATTGTGTAATTTAAATTGCACAATTTAAATTGTACAAACACATTGTTGATCCTTTTATATCTTAATTTTGACACCTAAGAATTATGAATACCAGTCAATTTGAATTAAAAGTTCATATTCATTTAAAGGTTCTGCAAATTACCAAAAAGCACAATAATAATGTCCTCGTACAAAGAGAATTAATGTACCCACAACTTTAGTTGCATTGGTTCAAAAGCACCTATATTTTAGCTTTAGTCAGAGTTAAAGCTACGATAGCAGTTCTCTATCCTCTTCCTTTCAAATTTTCCCTTGTTCAAAAAAAAAAAAGAAGAAAATACAAAGAGAATCAGACAGTCATCAACTCTGGAGTCGGACAATATGTAAAATATGGTCTTATACAATCCTATACCAAACCCTATGGTAGATAATAATTGTAGAAAAAACAAACGCAAGCTGTCCTATTTCAATGCAGACAAAGAAATGTAAAAAGGACCAATGAAAAGGGGCTGGTGCATGGTGGAGTCTTATGCTTTGATTATCCATCAGTGAAGAGATAAGTACTGTACCCCTTAAAGGACCCATGACCCATCAATTGTTGTTATTAAATAGTATTACTAAACCTTGATGAATTATATCACTAGTTTGTTAGTTTAAATGAAAAAAATTATTTTTTTTTGAATAAATTTTAAGTTTAAGTATCGTAAATAAAAAAAAAAAGTGTTAGGAGAATTCTCATTTATAAAATTTGATGTGATTTGATTTCGAATTAATTAAAATTTAATATAATTTTTAAATATTGAAGATTAATATAAAAAAAAAGACAAAAAAAAAAAGAAAAACAAAAAACCTTTATGAATCATGGGGATGTAAGCATACATAAACATCAAGGCTAAGTCTTTCCCAAGTTAAGAAATCATAATGAAAACAAGGGAAAAAAAATAGAGTAGTTAAGTAATACAAAAATGTTTTTATTAATCATGATTAGAAAACTTAATTATAATTTATATATTATTATTAAAAGCATTTAAATATTTCCCAACACAAACTGATTTTTCATATAACTCTTCTTATTAGATACACAAAACAGTAAGCGTTAAATTATGGGACTACATAGCCATGAGAAGGCAGGTGGCTCCATCGAAGAATGTTTTTTTTTATAATTTATTACAGTTTAAATTGTAAAACCATGATGAAATGTTAATACTACTACCAATATATATGAAATATATCTTTGTGAAAAAAAAGAAAAGAAAATATTTAACTAATATTACAAATCTGAGTGGACTCCCATGACTCTGTCTATATATATATGAAAAAAACACCCCTTCTGTTTATAATCCCCAACATCATCAACAACCTGATTATTGGTAGAATTCTTCTGCACGCCAGGTTTAACTCTGGAGCTTCATCGTTTCTTTCATGGGGAGTTGTCCAACTGCACAGATGTTCAAGAGGAAGGTAATGAAGATGTTCTGCGGACACCCAGAAACAGATGCGAAGGGTGAGGTGGAAGAGATGAAGCTGAAGATCAAAGGGACAGTGGTGTTGATGAAGAAGAATGTGTTGGACTTAACTGATGTCAAAGCTTCCGTTCTTGATCGGTTTCATGAGTGCTTTGGCAAGGGTGTTTCTTTTCAGCTTGTCAGTGCCACTCATACCGACCCAGGTTAGTCCCTTTTTTCTGAATACAAAGAGGTCAGTGATTGAATCAAGCATCATGTATCTTCTTCTAGCCATTGTCTATCGTTCTGTTACACTTCAAGAACAGAAAAGAAGATAGAAAGCATGTAGCTTGATTTGATTCTTTCCTCTTCGATTAAGGTTTCCTATTTTCTACCCTGTCCCTTCATGAACTTAATTTGGTGAAAAATTGATTCTTCTGTAGTTTCTTCAGTCTTCTTGCATCCATACAAGAAACAGAGAAACTAACTCATTAGAAGAATGCGTTGCTTAACAAGTTTTTTTGGGAAATTTCCGTTTCTTTGACTAACAATCAACAGTCATTTCTCATTCTCATCTCAAATTCTCAATCTTGCAGTTAACAAAAGGGGAAAAAAAAAAAAAAAAACTATTGATTTTGTTAAATTTGTGATTTGATTCTTGTATCCCCTATGTGTTTAGCTAAAGGGTTTGGAGGCAAGCTTGGAAAGCCAGCTTTCTTAGAGAAGTGGATTACAACAATTACACCCCTAACAGCAGGGGACACTGTCTTCTCTGCTACATTTGACTGGGATGAGTCTATGGGTGTTCCTGGTGCTTTCATAATCAAGAACCATCATCACAGCCAGTTTTACCTCAGGTCAGTGACTCTAGAAGGTGTTCCTGGACAAGACAGGATACATTTCGTCTGTGATTCCTGGGTCTACCCACAACATCGCTACAAATATAATCGCGTCTTCTTTTCCAACAAGGTAGACAAAGCTTAATCTCTTTAGATCTTGATTGTGATCTTGTTATGTTACACAATTCGTGGATTGATTTATATTGTTATGCTTTATGCTTTATGGTCATGCAGTGAGGATCATACTCCATTCCATAACTTTTTAGTATGTTATTAGGACCCTGTCATCCCAGTATGCCAGTGCCTATCATGATTGTGCTCTTTAAGTTCAATCATTTGGAGTTTCATTATGAACTTAACTTTTCCCTGATAAAAGCATAATCCAGTGATCTCTCAGACTCCTGCCAAGATCACCACCTTCCTAGATTATCAGTTTCTCAATGATTGTGCTAGAAATTCTTAATTATTTAGTTAATAATGTAGTTAATGAGGAAATGAGATAATTAGTGGATTCAATCTGGGAAATTTTTGTTTTCAAGGTTTTAAGCCTACATACAGGTTTGGTACTTTTCTTTACCATTAAGATTGAGGTGAGATAATGAGCAGATTGACTAACAATGACCATGATGTTTTGTTAGACCTATCTTCCACATCAAACACCGGAGCCCTTACGGAAGTACAGAGAAGAAGAACTTGAAAATCTTAGAGGAAATGGAAAAGGAATGCTCAAGGAGTGGGATAGAGTTTATGACTATGCTTACTACAATGACCTGGGAAATCCAGACAAGGATCCAGAATATGGCCGCACAGTGCTTGGTGGAACACAGGAGTATCCATACCCCAGAAGAGGGAAGACTGGTAGGAAACCAACTAAAAAAGGTCAGAATCCTCCTCAAGTTATTTTTTAGATAACTTATTACTTGTTCATGGGTCTTCATGTTTGGTTTGAGCTTCCTAATGGTTTGGGGTGTTTAGGAATATTAATGCTGACATTGACGATGATCTATAATATGTTAACACCATTTACTTTGATGATTCCTGTCAGCAACTTATGTTTGTAACTGTAACAGATCCCAATAGTGAGAGCAGACTGCCATTGCTAAGTCTAAACATTTATGTTCCAAGAGATGAACGGTTCAGTCAAGTGAAGTTCTCAGATTTTCTGGCATATGCTGTGAAATCCTTGCTTCAAGTATTGCTCCCAGAGATCGGTTCATTATGTGACAAGACCATAAATGAGTTTGACTCCTTTCAAGATGTACTTAACCTCTATGAAGGTGGTGTCAAACTACCAAATGGCCCCAGTCTCAAGCAGCTAAGGGATTGCATTCCCTGGGAGATGATCAAGGAACTTATCCGAAGTGATGGTGAGAGATGCTTAAAATTCCCAGTGCCTTCTGTGATTAAAGGTATTAAAACATTTTCTTATGCATTTCATGGCTAAACGGTATCATTATTGGTATCTTCAGTTTTGACCTTTAAACTACAATGGTTTTCATGAAATAAATACAGAGAGCAAGACTGCCTGGAGGACAGATGAAGAATTTGCTCGAGAAATGCTTGCTGGAGTCAACCCAGTCATAATCAGTTGCCTACGTGTAAGATATAACATCCCCCTGTATAAGCTGTTCTTTATGTATTATTCTCATCACGCACAATAAAAATAATCTGCATTCTCCTTTCCATAATTTTCTAAAATATGCCTTCAGGAATTCCCTCCAGCCAGCAACCTAGATCCTAAAGTGTATGGCAAGCAGAACAGTAGCATAACCAATGAGGACATAGAGAAGAATATGAATGGGCTAACAGTAGATGCTGTATGATTCAATCTTGACCTGTTTTATTATTTCATTATCTGCTGTTCTACCTTTTTATTGTCTAGTATAATTACATGTGAAAAACTTATTTATTATGTTTTCTCCAGATAACTAATTGGTTTTCTTTTGTTCTAATCTACCATTCCATTCAGGCAATAAGATCCAAGAAACTATTTATATTAAATCATCATGATGCATTGATGCCATACCTGACTCGGATCAATTCCACCAGCACAAAGACTTATGCCTCTAGAACAGTGCTCTTGTTGCTAGATGATGGGACGTTGAAGCCATTGGCAATTGAGTTGAGCTTGCCACATCCCCAAGGGGAACACCATGGTGCCGTCAGCAAAGTTTTTACCCCAGCAGAGGATGGAGTTGAAGGTTCAATCTGGCAATTGGCCAAAGCTTATGCTGCTGTCAATGATTCTGGCTATCACCAACTGATTAGCCACTGGTATGATACTGAAATAAAAATAGTGCTTGATAGCAAAGGTTAAAAGTTTGGCTTTGAATTATAGTCTTTTTCTGATCCATCTGCAGGCTAAACACCCATGCTGTGATAGAGCCGTTTATAATTGCAACTCATAGACAGTTGAGTGCTCTTCACCCCATATATAAGCTTTTGCATCCCCATTTCCGTGACACAATGAATATAAATGCTCTGGCTCGCCATATACTCATCAATGCTGGTGGTGTGCTGGAGAACACAGTCTTTCCAGGTAAATATTCGTTGGAAATGTCTGCAGTCCTCTACAAGAACTGGAATTTCATTGAGCAGGCACTTCCCAATGATCTACTTAAGAGGTAATAAGCCACATAGATGTGGATGATGGTTTTTGTAGTTTTAGCATTTGGGAGAATGAATTTTGATCTGCAACTTCAAAACTTCATTTCAGGGGTATGGCAGTTCAAGACTCAAGATGCCCTCGTGGCCTTAGACTTCTGATAGAGGATTATCCGTATGCAGTTGATGGGCTAGAAATCTGGTCAGCCATTGAAACTTGGGTAAGTGAGTATTGCTCCATCTACTACCCAGCAGACCAAGTGGTCAAAGATGACCCTGAACTCCAGTCATGGTGGACTGAGCTCCGCAAGGTAGGTCATGGTGATCTGAAAGATGAACCGTGGTGGCCTGAAATGAATACACGAGCTGATCTTGTGAAATCATGCACCATCATCATATGGTTGGCTTCTGCTTTTCATGCAGCTGTTAATTTTGGACAATACCCTTATGCTGGCTACCTCCCTAACAGGCCAACTGTAAGCCGTCGTTTTATGCCTGAACCAGGCACCCCTGAATATGCGGAGCTGGCATCAGATTTTGAAAAGGGCTTCCTGAAAACAATCACAGCCCAGTTCCAAACTCTCCTTGGTGTGTCTTTGATAGAGATTTTGTCCCGGCATTCAACTGATGAAGTTTACCTTGGACAGACAGATAATCCCAATTGGACCACAGATGATGAAGCATTGGCTGCATTTGAGAGATTTGGAAATGAGTTGCTAAAAATTGAAAACAGAATTATGGACAGGAATAACAATAGCAGATTGAAAAACAGAGTTGGACCAGTTTGGATGCCATACACACTGCTTTTTCCTAACACCTCAAATCACACTAAAGAGGGTGGACTTACTGGAAAAGGAATTCCAAATAGTATCTCAATCTAATTTTTCTTCCTTTTTTCATGCAGAGGGTGGATGGGTATTCTTGAGGCAAGTATATATATAGAATATTTTGTTGTTAATCCAGAAAAAGAAGAAGAAGAAAAAAAGAATGGCAAGCGCCTATTAGGTCTTTGTATTGTCATTTTTTCTTGTGTTCTTTATCTTGTTACAACCATAAATGTTTGTGTAGACTCTTGCTTCTGTTCATGCCTATTAGGTCTCATCTATTAGTTTTGTCAAAAAATGTTGTCTTGTATTCAATTTCTGTGTTGTTAAGTACATGTGCAGCCATAAGTTTGTTCAAGACTTGCTCTCCATGTCACAATTTCTTCACGTGGACAGTACCCTGCCAAATATTTGCCTGTTTAACTCTGCCATAAATATATCAGTTTTGAGCAGAATTATGTTAATCTCGAATCCTATGTAATTTGCCCCTAAAGAAATGAGTAACAAAGAATGTCAGTCAACTAATCTACATCCCCTTTTATTTCTTATAATGTCAGCTAACACCTGACATCTATGTTAGTTATCAAAAACAGTCTATTCTGAAATGAGACTTCTTATTCAAGGGATACAGCACTTTGTTGGAAACACACTAACCATGCAAATATAATCAAAGAAACTATTGTCCAAACTCCATTGAAGAGGTACACATCCATGTGATTTGAGATGCTAGCTAACATTTAATGGGTAGGAAGGAAACACAAACAAGTAACCTAATGAGGTGATTCAACGGTTAAGAGTTTAAGTTAAAAATCTCAAATTCGAGTTTTGAGTCAGGTGAGAGGGATTTGAAAATAGGGGAGAGTTATTTTTTCTTGTATAATGTACCAAAAAAAAAAAAGAAACACCAACAAGCATTACCAAATTATGAAACATATTAAATGCAAAGAAAAATCAGTAGTTAATGAAACACTAATGAACTAAAAATGGCAAAAGCATCACATGGAACAGATAAACATGCATGCTCTTACTAGCCCATTTGAGTTTCAACTGAATTATCACCCTGCACAACGAACCCACATACAAATACCAAATCTTAGACCAAAACCTAACAACTAAACAATGAAATTTTGTTTCTTGAAACACACGTATTCTGTATTGGCACCAACAAAAGCCTCAAAATGGGGTTGAAAAGGAGCTAAAAGCAATGGAATTACAGCATTCAAGAAATTAATGATGGAGAATAAGGCGAACTGTATAAGTAAGAGAAGAATGGTGAATGAAGATGAATAAGAGTTTCGCAGAGGCAATTCATCGAACCGATGTGTGCTTAACATTCATCCCTTGAAGTTGAAGAGCGGATAGGCAGAGAACTAATTTGGAGCCGTCTCTTTCACATGGAAATGGGAGGTGTTCAAATATCAGAACGTCTAAATGCCACAGCTCCCTCTCTCATTGGGTGCATGTGCCAGGCGTCGCCTCAGAAGCAAAGATGAAAATGCAAAGGCATTTATTTGACTACACTTATGTTGCTCTGTTCTCAAAGAAACTAAAAACGATGTCGTTTGTTAAGTCTGGCAGTGTTTTCTTCTTTAAATTTTTGGCTATCGATGGTGTTTTAATTTTATATACATAGGAGGCATGCTCTCACGTATAAACTATACATATTATACTTATATAAAATTTTAATTAATTATTATTTATTTTTAATATTTAAAATTTATTATAAATTTTTAAATAAAAATATGATTATTTTTAATAAATATAAATAAATCTTAATCATTAAAAATTGATAAATAAACAATTAAGATTTTACGTAAATATATTATGTAAAACTTATATATAAATAAATTTTTACTCATATATATATATATATAATAAGGATCCATTTAAATATTAGTTTTACACACTACATTTATTATTTAACTTCACATATACAAATGTATAATTTTTATATTCATTATTTACTATTTTTTCTATAATTCAAATATGATGCTTACCTTAATAAATAATGTACTCGTAAATAATATAAATATATCTGGATCCAGTGCTCACCCCTACCACCTCAGCATGAACCAAGCCGAGTTGGACTGGACATGTAAAGGGCTATCCGAACATGGAGGCCCAACGTACCCAAGCAGTTAAGTGACCAGCTAGGCAGCAACATAATGTTGCAAACCTCCCTCCAAAAGCTATTAACCGCTCAATTACCAAGGGGCAGGTCTTTCCACTTTCTTTCACTTTCTTCCTCTTCATAACTTGGTTTGTATTGACATAAATACTTTAGTCCCTTCTTGAAACCATAATTCTAGGGCTTCATATGTCAATGGAGAGGACACTAATGACCTAAGTATGTAATTAGTGAAAATTTTATTTTAGTAAAAATAAAAAATTTTAAATTTAAATTACATAATATATAATAAAATTAAAGAAAAAAAAGAATTATTTTTTATTATAAAATTCAATATTAATAAAAAAAAAAAAAAAACAACCACGAGGATGTATTAAATTTAGATTTTCATGGTTGAGGTCAACTTTTGAACTAATTTATGCATCAACACATATTAGAGCTAATTGAGTGATAACTATGGGAACACAAGAATAGAACCTCCGTCACTTTCTTTTATTGGTTTTAAATGCAATTCTTTTTCTGGCCGAAGGTTTAAATGTAGGAATAGCAATTTCCTCCAAAACCCACAGAGGTCCAAGGAATTCCTATCGTGAGAATAGAGATTTCAAGAATATTTTTCCTTGTGAAGCAGGGATGAAAGCACTTTTTTTCTCGTGAAGTTTTGTAGAGAATTTCCTCTGTACCATGAGAATCCGTGGGGGTTCATATATAATAAAAAAAATAAATTTATATATATTTATAAATATATTACCAATTAATTTTTATTCACTCAATTTAATTGGTTAATGCAGCTCAACTTATATTGCCAGGCTAGCCCAATTCTTTGTCCAATCTTCCCAAACCCAATTCAATACAATAAGTAAACTACAAATTGCAAATTACAATTGCCAATTGTAGGTCTGCGGCTAATTGCCAATTGCATGTTGCAGTTTATGTTTTTTTTTCTATGAACATGCTGCTGGAGCTGGAGTGCTAGATATGTATGGCAGTATATATTTGCTTGCTGCAGCTGGACATTGTTTTGTTGGACTATATGTGTAATATATTTATTTGTTTGAGTTATTTTAAATTTATATTTTTTAATTTATAAGAAAAAAAAGTTAAATTTTATATATTTGATATTTTCAAAAAACTTCGTATAGCCACGGATACTCGTCATTCCTTGTAGGTATGGGGACGGAGATTATTTTTGGCTCCCTACCAAAAATCCTCGTGAGGATCTCCATACCTGCCATTGATAGGAATAGGGATGGGGAGGGGGTCTCGACCCCTGTGAGACCTGTTGCCATTTCTATTTAAATGCAATACTAATAGTGGATTTTCTCATTACATTCTTGATTAAGATTCAACTTAATTCTTTCATTAAAAAAAATTCAACTTAATTCTTTAGTAAAAAGAAAAATAAAGTATGTTCTATGAAATGATTACTGCAACCAGTAAAAAAATTATGATGATAATAAAAGAAAAACACACATTCATTAGAATTATATCATTCCTTACAAGCAACAAGAAAAGAAAAACACAAAAGGAGAGACATTTTGATCCACTTTGCGGTCTTGTATGTTACTGTGCTTAAGATGGGGGGCTGACTTCATTCCCATTCTTTTATCATTCTTGATTGTGTTTGCCGTGCCCATATATGAACCTTGCTGTCCCCTCTGTGTACACATGGGTCTCATTCTCCAGCCTGCACCCATTAACACACACACACACACTCCATGAGCACTCAATATGCTAAAGTCAATTAACAGTTTGAACACGAGACTTTGAAATTAGAGATCTTGAGTTTAAAATTGATTTACGTGTTTCGAACAGCCTTGCTCAACGTAGAGGCAGAGGAAAATGTTTTCCCATCAAGGTATCTGTTCTCTCCTTCAATCCTCTGTTTCATTCTGAGGTCTAATTCTTCAGCACTCAGGAGTAAAGGAGAATCTGAGGCCTGTAATTTAATAGAAACTTTACTCCTCCTCATGCACATCTTAATGAATTAAAGTTCTTAATTTTTATAACTTGGATTCCATACCATGATCCAACCCCAAGTATCAGCATACGAAGGAATGTGAGCTGAATACGGCACAACGTCTGCACGTAAAAAAAACGTAAAAGATTTTAAATATTCTACGTTGACTTATGCTTGTAGCTTTAAAGAAAGACAAGAAAAAACAAGGAAATGAGCCTCAAATCAAAAGAACTTTTTGCTTGCTTACACTTGAAAACCTGCCGTAAAGTGTTGTATATGCAGGAAAACACTTCAGTGTGGCTGAATATTCCAGCTGGTCCTGCCTACAAAATTAGACAAATGAACTCCGTTAATCCCTCTGTTTGTCCCCTAATTTGCACGGATGAACATAAACATAACAGAGACAAGACAAAAATAGTGTGGGAACTAATGTACTAAAAGTCAGTTTTATTCACCTGTGTCACGAATATGCCACAGGGATTGAGCCTAGACTTGATGGTGAACTCGTAGAAGGATTTGGTGTAGAGTTTGTAACATGGACCTCCCTCAATTGGGTCAGCTAGGTCTCCGATGATCACATCATAGCACTCTTTTCTGCTGATCAGCTCTGCTCTAGCATCGTTGATGACTAGCTCGAGTCTGGGATCGCAGAATGCTTCCCTGTTGGAAACCAAGTATGACTTGCAGAACTCCACAACCTCCTGTTCCAACATGAAATATGAGTTAATATTTACTCTCTGAAAATTTCCTTCTTATGTTTTAAGTAATTACCTCATCGATGTCACACATGACACACTTTTCGACACTGAAGTGCCTCAGAATTTCTCTTGCAGTAGAGCCTTCACCCCCTCCCATGATGAATACAGTCTTTGGACTAAAATCAAAGAAAAATTATGGTAATATCAACTAATAATTTCATTATTTTGCTCGGTGTAAAAGTGAAACACAGTGACATTCGAACGAAAATTAATAAAGGAGAAGGGAATACTTTGGATGATGAAGAAGAGGTGGATGAACAAGACATTCATGGTATATGAATTCGTCTACCTCTGCACTTTGAAGCTTTCCATCAATGACTAAAGCCTGTAATTAAGCACAAGAAGGGAGAAATATATTGAGGAAATTATGATTTTTGTTCTATCATTTGATTTTCAAATTTTCTTGGGGACTTGGGTAGATGTGAACCTTTCCAAAGGGTTTTGTGTCCAAAAGGGCAATGTCCTGATACTGTGTTGCTGCTGTATGCAATATACTGTGTCAATAAGGAAAAAAGCATGTTAATTAATATTTTAATTTTTGTTCTTTTGTGTCTGTCTATTTTTTTCTTGACCAAGGTATATTACACTTTTTCTCTTTTTAGACATATGGGGTATGTTCTCTATGCCAAAAGAGAAAACCAGGACTGAATTTTTGTGAATATTAAAAAATAATCAAGAACACAAAAATATCAAATATAATTTTAGTTGCCTTCCTTGAGAAATTAAAGGTAGTTCGAGTCATACGCATGCATATGTGCTCAAGATTAGAGAGAGAAAATGTACTTTTCCTAATGTAGAGAGAGAAATTTTACCTATTAAGAGCAAAAGACCATCTCAAGTTTTCTTCAATCTCTTCCTCATACCAGCAGCTCTTTCTGTATCCCGAAGGTGTATGGCTCTTCCCATTGACTCCATTGCCATTGTTTATCCCATTTGGACAAGATATCTCACCCATTTTCTAGTCCTGTTACCTTAAAACAAACACACACAACAGAACAGAAACAGGGCAAAAGCAGAGTTAGGGAAGAAAAGAGGGAGAGGGATGCAGAGGAAAGAAGAATGTGCCCTAAATATAAATGGGGAAGAAGGCAGAGTATTTGAAAAGTGTTATCATTAGGTTTGAGTGTGGAAGAGGAAGTGAAATCTATCGAAATTTTGTGTTCCTTACATTGGAGACACTGAACAAAAGAAAAAAAAAACAGAGGAAGAGATAGATAAAGAAAGCGAAAATCGTTTTGGGTCTTTGTAAGTTTGGTATAGACATAAAAAATGGAAAGACAGCGTGGGGTTTCTAAGTTGATTTGGTCGCGTGATTGTATTGATGCCATCTTGAAAATTTTCAAGCTGTGCTCTTTTATCCACAGGGTATTTGATCAAGTTCTTGTCCACTTCTATACACGCAAATGGTCTTTGTCATGTGCCCGAGTTCAGCCGTTCTTGCATACATTTATATCTAACGGAGAATTTTGATTTCGTTTTGAAGTTGCACTTTTTCAATGAGGATAATGCCCAGACAATAGTCCACCATAAAAGATCTTGCCTTGAAATGTATAGCATACACGGCATCCAAGCCCGGCCGGACCACTCTTGGTTCCAAATCGGCTATCTTGGGTTGACCATACTTGAGATTGCAATCGGCTATCCATGCTTATGGGTCGAGCTGGTTTCAATTTTGGTCTCAGTTTGGGCCAATCCTAATTGCCAAATTTTTTTTTATATTAAATTTCCCACTTTTTTTTTTTACCAAAATACTTCTAAGGCTAGTCGTTATATGTTCGTAGAGGGGTCCAAGGTCTATAAAAAAGAAAAATTAAAAATTTTTTAGTCTAAACTAACTAGAGTTGGTTCATCAAATAATAGCCGAAGATCAACCTACCGGATAGACCAGTCCCAAGCCTAAGACCGTTGACCAGTCCTGTTTAGGCCCAGCTCCTTGGCCATGTATAACGTATAACCTAACAAGGTCACGATAAAAATGTTTAGTGTGAAGGAGAAAAGGATAAAAGAGTATGATTATGGTTGGGGTTGACAAATACCAAAAATTCTGGTGATATTCTTTTCTTCAGAAGTGTGTGCAAATATTGGATGGAGACGAAAGCGTGCAATGGGAATCATCATCATATATTCCTTCCCTTGCTTCAAAAGAAGAAGGAGGCGTGCTTAGCCATCATCACCATCACACCTATTCATTACCTCTCTGCATCTCTTCCCCGGCTAAAAGCACGAAGATTTTTATCTTTCTTTTTCAACCCCTCCATCATATTATCCTATTGATCATATTCTCCGTTCCCATGATTATCATGTATGCCTGTCTTGCCACGTGTCAAAGGATAACCCTGGTTGTAACCCATTTTGTGGGTCTTGTGGGGCCTTTGGGAAGATTGGTTTTAGGTTAGGCTTAATCTTACTTTTTAGTTTTTTATCTTAGGTTAGGCTTAATCTTATTTTTTAGCTTTTTATCTTAATAAATTTATAGGTTTTATTCTCTCTACTTATATTATAACATTTTTAGTAATTTACTTTAATAAATTTGTAAGTTTTAACCCATTACTTTATATTATAACACTTTTAACCCCTCATCTATACGAGTTGAAGAAAATAACCCTTATTTAATATCAAATTATAACATTTTATTAATTTCGTTAGCTAACTGTTAACTCTGTTAACTAATTGTTAACGTTTTGTTAGTATTTTATTAACGGAACTAACAAATAAATTTAAATTTAAATTTCATATTTTCTATAACAGAATGTTAATAGATATTAACG